CGATCATTAATACTGTACGACACCGGCGCATGCGCATCCTACGCACGCAGCGACATCTGTGTTGCGTAACACACAATAGGGTCAGATGTCGGGAGTTACTGACCCTGACATGTTGTGTCTTCAAGCTTGCTGCGTTTCTGGGTGGTGCAGAAATTGTGATAAATGTTGGTCGTATAATTAATTTTTGATGTAAGCAGCTAATGCCGTCATTCCTAATGATTTATTACATTTAAGTAAGATTTGAAAATATTATTATAGACGAGATAATATCTATTACAACGTCGTATTCGTCTGTATTCTATGTACAAAAAATAGGTACTGTAAAAATATTTTTCGCTGTTACTCCGAAACTGTGCAACCGATTTTGATGAAGTTTTCCATTTTTATACTTTAATATCAGCGAAGTCGTGAGTAAAATAAACGTTTTCTATACAAAGAGATAATTTGTTTTGTTTGGATAAGAAAAACTAATTTTCTCTTATTACCTAGTTAGTTTTCTCTTTTCACGTAATCACAACGGACTAACTAATAAACATTATTTTATCTAGAGTTCTCAAGATAATCAGTGTAATCAATATGTTTGTCTCATTATTAAAATTACGCGGAGAGAGTTACCGCTTATATGCGTTTGCGCAACCTACGTGTAATATTGATATTACTATAGATCTGTATGCTGATTACCGTATATGTAATTTGTACGTGAATGTCTTGTTGGTGGATGGGTCAATATGATACCTAGCCTGGGTTGCGAGTGCAATCGCAATGAATAATGTACTGCAGCCCTGGATCGAAACAGGATAAGGAATGGAGTGGGTTTTAGTCAGTAAGTCTGTCACTCCCTCTCGCCCAACTTAGGGAGTTATTTCTTTATTTATTACATAATGCACAAAACATTGTAAAGGCGGACTTAATGCATTGAGCATTCTCCACCAGCCTACCTTGTGATGCAGAGAGTGCAGCAGTTATAGTGCAAGGATAAAGCAGTTTAGAAATATTCGGTAAACCTATGTAAAAATATACAAAATACACAGAATTATACTTATGTTTACATAATTGTATATTAGCTATTGCATAATTTGGAAACAAAAACCATGGTAGTTTGGTAGTAGATTCTTTTTATTTCGGTTTTAGTAGAATTGTACCTAAATGTTTTTCGAAAATTATATAATATTATTGATCGCAGAAAACATTCATTACGTGTACAATGAATCATGACTTTTATATTTCTAAAAGAAATAAAACTTAATTTAAATAACTCAAAAATAAGACACCTCGAGTACATTATACGTACCCCATATTATGTATTAACGCCACTTGTAATTCCGTTCGAAAGACGAAAAGTACATAACATCCATTTGTAAGTAAAGCCACGTCCACACGGTATGAAAATACCGCATACATGTCGATTACGTGCGAGTCTTAACAAAACGCTCACGATTTTGGTGAAAGTGCATGTAGTGTGTACTAGTGCTAACTGTCAGTTTGTGTGTGCACTAGGCTTTGTAAAGACCTTTATGGAATAAGGATTTGAATTTTTAAATTTGAATTTTCGAACGATTTGAGGAACGTAGTTTTTATTTTATTTTCAATTTGGGTTTTATTTTTTTATTTGGTATTGTGTTTTTTTTTTCGGTAAGTAAATGACTCCCGTTTTATTTATTGGCCTTTGGACTTAAATAATACGTATAAAATAGTATAATTAGCACAGAGCCTTTCATGGTTGATGATCTACAACTGCTGTAAATTAAAATAAGATTCATCATAAATAAGAATTGTTGCTTAAAGTAAAATATGTTTTTCGTACGTACCTTTTGGCAGTTCCTTTAAGTTTTTAGAATAAGTTTTCTAAATCCTTGTATTTTTAATATTGGTTTCATAAGTATAGATTGTTGTAACCCCTATTTTCTACAAAAACAATAAAACATTCTGCCACGAGCAAGTGTGCACTATAAATCTGTCAATAAGTAAGTAGTCTGACTACAATGAGACTGGTCTGACGAGGTTTACAGCGTAAGTAAGAACTAGTCTGTCAGACTCAAACAATGAGGTTTTCATGTCACAATGGAATTCTATTGTTTTCTATAAGTAATTATGATATTGTATTACGCGAAAATATTCTCAAGATGGCCGACTGTTTTTCTTGGATGTTTGATAGGTTTTTGTTGAAGAAATGTAGATATTTATTTCTTTTTTGTGTTGTATTTATCAGTCGCTATCGATTTCGTTTGTGTTATTACGCAATTACAGTTTCTATAAACATATAAATAGTATCGATGTACATATCATAAAGCAAAAAATCATATAATTTATTTGCATTCCACGAAGTGTTTTATAGGTGGTAGGTATACAAGGCTTAAAGCTACAGTACATTTATGGACCATGTTAGGGCGTAGCAAAATAGTTTAAAAAAACAAAAAATTACAGTAATAAAAAACATAATTTAACAATAAATAAAATTTGAGGTCAGGGATTTAGATATTATTGCACCTTTCAAAGTCTTACACCATGTTATTTTTATCAACGACAATTTCATAAGTGCAATGCCCTATAATCATTGGCAAATAATTTCGTGTCACTTTGTATAAAAAAGTCTCTCGTTTTATAATCAACAACAAATCATCACACTAATGTGACAGTTGTTTAAAATTAGAATGCTATAAATAGCTGTAGGTCGCCATTTTAGAATTTCTCAATTTGTCTTTGGCCACCTGAGTGTCGATGTGATTGTTGTTATTAAGATTCAAACAAGGTTTAATGTTATATTTGTACATATTCGACCATAAATATTAGATGCCCTGTTTGCAACATAAGCTGATTAATTAATCAAAACAGGCGTACTTAACATGTTACATGAATTTAGTACTACATTGATTGAACGAAGAAAACCAATACAAAAATGCGATGTGATAAAAAATTACTGTCACATAATACGGGAATTATTTTAATACCCATCATCAAGCCAACCTTTCAAACTAATATCGTCTATAAACCATTTTAATGTGTTCATAAACCATCAACTCCGTCAAAATTAACAAAACGCTACAAATTATTATCTTGGAACACGCAAGATCAAATCGACGTATCAATTAAAGCACGCTTGTATCCACAGGTAAAATAATGCATTAATTATCAACCACAACACGTTACTTTCCCCTCTCTCAGTAGCTTGGAAAACCGCGAAAGTTAGTTCTCCACGCAGTTAACGCCCAACCATCGCACTCGATACATGAAACAAAACGTAAATATTAAATCGATTATTTTTTCACCAATCGATTATTTAAGAATTTTATAAATAGACTGAGCGAGTGACAAACGACAGTGTCGAACAGTGAACTAAGTCTGGTTCTAAATTTAAACCGCATACCGAACGGAAATATAGAACGCCCAACGGATTGCATGTTCTATATTTAAATCCCCGAATGCAGCTGCCAGTGTGAACTTTGTCACGGGATTCCGCTTTCTTTTATAGTAAGTTTTTTTTTAACATGATGTCGGAATGATTGGGCTGTGGAGTCGTGATACTGGGCCATGATCGAAGCGATCGATTGTTTTGTGATTGCCATTGATAGTGAAAGTGTCGTGTTTGACGGCCGTCGTCAGATTGTTGGTAAATATTTTCTAACATTTATGGACTTTCACTGTCCGTACTTTCTTAGTACTCCGGCACTCTCGTACCTTATAAACATAGAATTGTTTTGTTACGCAATGACAGCGTGCACTGTTATTTGTTATCTGTGGTCGTCCTAGTCACCGGTGTCAGACCGCAAATTACACAATTTGGCAGATGCAATCCAAACTCGTAACCTACTAGACATATATATGATGTTTATTTTTCAAAACCACAACAAAAATGTTTAGTTCTTTTGCCATCTTCTACCACACACTGCATCTCATTATATACAGATAAAACTTTACTATCATGATGACCTAAGCATCATCTTCTGAACGAGTATTAAATATACATGACATCATTAGCCAATGTCATGTCATATGACAAATTATTGCAACGATTGATCTATACGAACTGAAGTCACGCATCTATCTGTCAATTAAATGGTCCGTACAAGAAATATCGGTATGTATCATGCAATCAACCGAATCAATGTCATAAGTAGCAGGATTAGTTTACGAATACTAGAAAGATTTTCATAACAAAACATAATTTGAAAAATAAAGGTTGTTTTTAATACAGTATAACATTTTTCTTTCATATCGTGTTCAAACCTCATTTTGAATATAAAACTCCTTTTTCGATAAGGAGGTTTGTTATATCAAATAGGTAACTAATGATCGCCTGCGTATAAAATGTTGATTTTTGAGTGAAACTATTGAGTTAGTATCTTCGTTTTTAAATGTTGTCCTATGCCTATTCTGCATAGGTTTGATCCTCCTTAGATAATTAAAAGTCAAAAGTCAAAAATCATTTATTCCAATTAGACCTTTACAGGCACTTTTGAACGTCAAAACAAAATTTTGAAGATAATTTAATTGACAAATTGAAAATTCATCGGGAGAACTACGTTGTTCGGCTTTGTAACGTCATGTGGCTCATTCGATAAGTGGGGTTAAAAAAGACTGACATTAATAATATTAATTTTAAATATCGAATATCGTGTGACGTCACGACTTAGTACCTATATTTTATACTCATAAGTGATGTATCGTTGCGCATTATGTAAATGTTTTTTTATACAACCCAATAAAAAATACGTAGGTACCCCATATTTTTCCATTATCCATCTTACTGACACATTAATTTGATTTGAATTTAAATACCCACATATATTCCATGGCATATTTCTTTGGAGAAATTCAACCGTATTATATTATGTAGTATGTAATATACTATTACGCTCTACGGTAGAGGCTTACGCCACAGCGTTCAAGATGCAATGAGCTTAATTCATCCGGTGTAGGAAGCGATCGCGATTCGAATAAATATGTGAAACTTAAATGCTGTGGTCTGTTTGCTATTCCGCACGTATTCGCCAAGTGTCGGAATGGTACCAATGGAAACGGTAATATTTATGTAACATTCAAATCTTGTAGTAAATCTTTGGCGAGTCTTGGTATGTAGGTAGTTTTTTCTGGCCTTTGGTTACACTTGACGGTATTGGTGTTGATTTAAAATTATACTGCTTACTAATGAGTGATAGCGGGAGTGACTACAAAGGGTTTCCAGTTCCGATCTATGGTCGAGCGAAGTTAAATGTAACTTAAGGACTGGTTTTAGAAATTTTGGAAATAACCAAATTCTGGAATTACGAATACTGTCATAGCAATAATTTTGCAATAAATTAAATCCTCCTCGATTCCTAGATCTTTAAAATCCTAATCCCCCAAAGGATGGCAATGCGCTCGTCAGGCGCATTCCTCTGATGTTGTGGTTGTCGATGGACCATCAGGTACCAAGCTGGCTTGCTGACCTATCACAATATAGAAAAAAAATATGACTCATAACATAACTAGTGAAAACTTGGTGTTCTTGAACCAAAATACCACTGTTCCTTTGCCCAACTTCAATACCTCATAACAAACTGTCATCCATAAAACGGTAAACCTCTAAATGCTTTAAGTTTGCGGTTAAACATCTAATAAACAGTACATTAGATAAGTACGCCACAAGTTATAAAACAAAATTATTATTATTATTATAACCAACAGATTCTTCCTCATAAAGAAAATAATCTAATACAAAAACTAGTCCGGTACCTGTCATTACTTTTACGTAAGTCAACAGAAAGTACTGTCAACCTAACTGATGGCACCCAGGAAGTTACAACTCCTTTTATACATACTCTATGTGCAGGCATAGCTTATCAAGGTATCCCAACCTGTTAAGTTCGTTTTCAACTCTATTTGGTCCGTGATAAAGATCAAAATCTATCGTAGAATTTTGGTAGGTTCGGGTATATTCATGTGCGTTCTCTTACCATTTTGAAATACGAATTCTGGTTTGCTTTTCTTATCGTAAAAATATGTTTTCTTAAAAGGGCATGTGACCTGTGCCTAGGTTTTTTTTATCTGTGTACATATCGGATGTCATTCTTTACATTACAGTACAATCATAAAAGTTTGGAAATTTAGACCGCCATGAGACTTTTTCATGCAACAAATTATTAATATCAAACTAGAAAACCAAAGAAATTAATCAAATCTTTATTATTTATCAATTTTATAGTGTACAACTATTAAAACAGTTCAGAATTTAGGAATAACATCGGTTTTTACTATATTTTAAGAGCATACTTCAACACGTAGATATATCTAACCTACAAATTAAAATCGTATGCTTTTTATCTCAACTTTTGTTAAACCGTTATTAAATCAGTTTTTTTGTTAATTAACCACGGTTGGGTCGTTACGAATTGGGAAAATTAACCAAAAAGCACCGTTTCCTTGATCTTCAGATAACATGGAAACGATTTAGTCTGAGCGTCAAATCTGCATACTTATTAAATATTCATGCCGTGGCTTACCGTGTAATAATGAGTGCGTGAAATGTTAAATAATATTACGAGATTTTATACCTGTTAAATTTGCTATTCTATTGCAAATATACTTTATGGAATTTTGGCACTATGAGACCGCTAATCATTGTTTTTAAGACGGAAATTTCAACTAATTACTGCTCTCGCTCTGGGTGTTGGTTTTAGACTCTTACTGACTAAACACCACAAATACTAGTTACCGATTATAAGTTAGAAATATAATACGGTTTGTCCGAATCAAAAGAGGCCTTGGTCAGCAATGCTGCACTTATCGGTGATGATGATGATGATGATGACAATGATGATAAATGGAATATTGATTATATGGATTGGACCTCAGCTCCGGTAAAATCACACGGCGAAACACAACGCTGTCAAACATCTGTTAATATGATATTTTTAAGACCCGTGTTATCCACATTAATATACCAAGATATTTGCCAGTATCGTGTATATCAAAAGAAAATTTCTCAATTTCTCAAAGCCCAATAATAAGAACAAATCTAAAATTATTTTCATAATAGTGACCAATATGTCGTGTCTTGAGGCGTGGAAAGCATTATAATTATACATGATTATCAGTTAAAGTTCCCGTTAATTATTAAGAAATATTTAACCGCGCCTTCATTTTAAAACTCGTTAGGAAAAATTACGTAAAATAACTTTCGTTTTTCTTTGTAGAATGAGGAGAATTCCAAAGTGTGTCTGTGTTAGTAGTGGGCTCAGGTTTTGTACATTTCTCTCAGTTGTAATGTAAATCTGTTGTCTAGACAGCATCTTCAACGTAGGCTGCATTTCTCTAATTTAAAATTGTAGTTGTAGACAACATTACGAATGTACTGATTTGTACGATTTTAATTGGCTTATGTAGAACTGTACCGCGGGAAGCCATGTAAGTGCTTGCTATTCAGGATTCAGTATAAATGGTAGTGTTTCGCGCACGCAGCAGATCGTGTGTTGTGAAGCGAATGTGATATTGAAGCGTGTGAAACAATTGAGTGTTGTGTGCGTAATTACAGATTTCTGTCAGCTATTTGTTTGTTACCGTCCCGTCCAGAGACATTTTTGTATTTAGATTTTTTTATCGGAAATTTTGGATGTACTATTCAATTCGATCCAGCCGTTTTTGTGTTTGGCTCTCAGCAAAACACATATTATTATCTTAATCTTGAACTATATGATCAATATTTTCTCACCATAAACTCTCTCTTTCAGACAACAGACAGCGCAGACTTCCTGGCGACGCGGCCACACACAGCTGCGGTCATCCCGGGCAAGCCTGCGGGAAACCCGCTGCAGTTCGTGCGGGTAGGACCTGCTGACCTTGGCAGCAGGGCCAGGGAACAACTTCGAAGAGCTGAGCTCGCGAAGAGAACAGATCCTGCTCGCATTGAAAGGCAGGAGGACTGGCAGTCGGTGAGTCAACTGTTCACATGATACTTAAAATAAGGATCTAAGATCGAGGATTGACGAAGCATGTTTAGATTATAACCAGCCTTTATAAAACGGTGGATAAAAAAACAACACATCAGCATTCTCTGTTCTAGAAAATAAAGGGCATGTACCTGTGATATATACCTGAGTACTATGATAATTATATTGCCTACATATGAATAAGTGGAGCAAGGGTATACGCTATGCTGATACCATATCAACTTGAAAGTAATCGATGGCGTATGATGGTATTTAACGGTCATAAAAACATATGAGATACTAGAAACTCCATGTTATTTGTGCGTAGTTACAATATAAATACAAAAAAGAACTCTTCAAAGATTCATGTACCTGTATTATACCTGCTGCATTTGAGTTTGTTTCGGAATTTCTTCTAGACTGGTTAGAGAGTAAATGCCAACATCTACTTTACCGTATATTATTTTGACGTGTAAAAGTGTTGTTTAATTGCCTATTTGCAAAGTTGACTTAGTTATTATCTCATCATAAAAACACATTTTACCAAATTTTGCGGGATTATAATTGCGGGATAATCGCAATGAATCACTGCGGCCTTGGCCCTGAGTTTTTTAAGCCAGTAAGTGTCTGGCACTCTCTATCGCCTTACCCAGGGCGGGAGAAGTCATTTGATGATTTTTCCCTCACAAAAAAAACCTTACGAAGGAAATTCACCAACTATGACTGGACAAGGTGACAAATCCATTATATTCAAAGCATGAGAACTTATTGGCTATGCAGTGAGCGTTCCGCTGCAGTATTTTATCTTCATCTGGAAACCGAATCACCATAAAACATTCCTTACAGTTTTATTTCTGCTCACATTTAGTGAACCAATAAGGAAGCCAGTTTCCAAAGACGGATTAGGGCTGCCCAATGACGTTAGATATGTATGTGGCAATTGGATTATTTGTTTGTTTTAGTACTTAGAATTAATGTGACTTATGCCAAGACTGTAATTAAATAGGTTATAGAGAAGACCTAAAAGACTTCAGAACTATCTATAAGTATCACTATAAGTGTGGGAGAGCCAAGCTTTGGCACGAATGGGTCGGCTCGACCGGAGTGGTACCACGGCCCCACAGAATACCGGCGTGAAACAACCCACAGCGTTGTGTTTCGCCGTGTGAGTGAGGTTACCGGAGGCCCAACCCTCCCTCCCCTTCCCCTATCCCTTCCCAATCCTTATATCCGCAACCCCCTACCCCCAAAAAGGCCGGCAACGCACTCGTAACTCCTTTGATGTTGCGGGTGCCCATGGGCGGCGCCGATTGCTTACCATCATTCCGCAGATCCGTCTGCTCGTTTGCTGACTTATACCATAAAAAATACTATTATTTAGCTATGAAACGGAGCTGACTGCATGGTTAGGCAACTGGCTGCTGTGCAACGTGTCGTGGATTAGATCCCGCGTGGAACAACTTTCTGTGTGAACCACAAATTGTCGTTTCTTGTCGGAGTGGATTGTGTATGTGAATTTGTATATTTGTAAACGCACTTACAACCCAAAAGGAAAGCCTTATGTGGGACGACGTTTTCTAAAAAGATAAGATTGATAAAATTCTGATATGGTAAATACCGAAGAAAAAGGGAAGTCATAGTTTTGTTACAACCACATTTCTTTAATTTCTTTTTTATGTCACAAGAAACGCGTTTACAAGACTATACTATGTCGATGTCATAACGATATAGTTTATTTTTTTAAAACAAATGTCAAATTATTTATTCCAACTAAACCATTAAGAGGTACCTACTTTTGAAACGTTAAAATAGAATAGTAGATCTGCCAGTTGACAATTTCAGTCTTACTTTTTAGTTTTATCAGCATGGAACTTCTACAAACCGTACCCTTTTTTGGAAAAAGAAACGGGTATCCGTTAATTCCTCAAAAAAAAAAGAATATTAATAACTCCTAACCCTACTAGTCACCTGCTTTACATACATACAAGCCTACGGTAATTATGGCTGTGTGTAGTAGGTTAATTATCAATGGGCGTGTGGTCCTCGCTCTCAACTCTCACAGCTTCACGCTCAACTGCGATCGTCTGCTGTTTATGCTCGCGTTTATTTGTTATTCAGTAAATTTGACAAGCCTATAATATTCTGGGTTTACGATGGTGGTGACATAATGTATATTATAAGTGTCTTTTTAAAAATATTTTGATGTAAAAATTCAACATCTAGGTGTACTACTGGCGTCTAATGTTTTATTCTCTAGATTGATCTTTCACGAACTTAATGATAGCACTATTACGATTACAGGGACGTCAAACTAAACACAATGTATTTTCTATTGAGTCTTATATAGACGGCAGTCGAAAGGTTTTCATACCTTAATTCCAAAAAGTGCTATCTAACTTTCTGCCAAAGTAAATAGAGCAAGCAACCATATGAACAGCATTGAATTCCTTACATAATTTGATGATTAACAAAATACGTATAACTGACTTAGTTCGGTAAATGTCAAATTGCAATGACTCTCCGACAACCCTAATCGGCATGGTGGCAGTTAAAATAATTCAGTGTTGCCAGCGAGTGAAGTTTTTCACTTTTTTCCTAATGGCCGTTAATTACTGGGCTTCCGATGGAACTGGAAAGCGCTAAAACCAGGTTAATTGCCATACGTTCTTTATGTGAAGTTTTCTGCAAAAATTATTCCCTTGTATGTAGTTTGTCTGGGTTTGTATGTCTCGTAGTCTCTATATTACCTTTTACGTTTTACTTAGAAACTTGTCGTTACTGTGTCATCTTTTAACTTCTCTAAAAACCAAGTTTTTGACCCAAACTTGACTAAGGTTAAAGTTTGGGAGAGCCATGCCGCGGCACGAATGAGTCGACTCGACCGGAGTGATACCACGGTCTCACGGAAACCCGGCGTGAAACAATCACAGCGTTGTGTTTCGCCGTGTTAACTTTTGTGTTACTGTTTATCAATTGTGATATTGTCAGAGATAGAATATACCAGCAATAGGCCTAATATCCGATGAATATTAATTGAGTACTGGCCCAAGAAGATGAGACATACTTCATACAACTCTAGCATTCCCTTCTCAATGAGAAAGTATTTTTTTGAGTATACATTTTAAGCAAATAATCAATCGTTTCACATGCTGGTAATCAGCGCGGCGTCGCAACAAGATGAGTTAAAAACGCGTTGCCGCCCTTTAGGGTTTGGAGTATTGGGGAAGTGGAGGGAAAGGACTAAGATTCTAGCAACCTCACTCACACAACAAACACAGCCCAAGGACTGTTTCACGCTGATTTTCTGTGAAGCATGATTTGAGTATCACTCCAGTCGGACCGGCCTGTTCATTGTTTTCTACACTTTAGGGTTTGTTTGCTAGTAAGTTTTTCTCAATTTTGGAACTCAAAAGTATTCCTCAAGGTTAAAGTTCCACGTGGAGCGATTTCAAAACCCCCATGTAATGGCGCCGTGGGTATTGATTTATATGTCGTAAATTGTTTTGTTTTTATTTGTTTCGTTGTTTACATGACATGTTTACGTGTTTACTGTAAATTTTACGCCATATGTAAAACAGACATGTTCGTAAATTTCTTTACTTGTACAAGGTTCACGTTTTGTTTTTAGTACGCAATTCATTTTGGTTTCTCAATCTCTGCTGTTTACTTAGTGATGAGAGTTTATACTATTTATATTACCTATCCTAATGGCCAATTTTTAAGCAGCTGCAAAAATAATGTACAAAAATAGTTAGAATAGTTATAGACAGTTTAAGTAACTAATATTTCGTCGTAATAAAACTAGCCAGCTATGTGTGAAGCATCTCTGAATCAATCTGTAATTAAAACATACCTGCGGCTTAGCTGTAGCTGTTAAACTACAACAAAAACGTCACACCTCACATGGACGGAATACTTTATATTTTTTCTTCATTTCCATTCTGCCTCACGTTTCCAACCAATTACTTCGATGACAGATTCCTTCAGTAACATTTGAAGCATCTCATAATGACAGAGAATGTCGCCGTCCACGTCTTACGGCCAATTACGTGGATCGTAACAAAACAATAACAAAGCTCGCACTGCCTCTGCGCGGGCGCAAAGCGGAAGTTGTGCGCATACGCATGCCCGGCGACGACTTCCGGCGGTGTAACGAGCCGCCCTTTGTGGAATTAACTATGTATAAGTTTGTGTTTGTTTTTGTGAAGCCTTAGTAGTTTCGTTGTTTGTAAGTAATTAATATTTTGTTTTGTTTTTTGAAGCCAGATAACTTTAGTTTGTGTAGGTGTTGAATTTTATTTGCTAGATCGTCATAAAGATGTCGGAAATCTGTGTTAAGAATTTTCTTGTAACAAAGTTGTGTTGTGGTTTTGGATAAGCTTTTCCCCATTTGACCAGCGATTAATCCATTCAATCCTAATTCTTGGGATACCTCCCGCTTCCTTAGAAGCGAGATAAAAATAAACTACCACTTGACATACCGAATACCAATAAAAGCGATCTTTAAAACATACCAAACAAGAGCTAACATTTTCTTACATTCAATACTTTTTCAGTTGTACCATTATTGCGGTCATTACTCAGATTAGCCGAGATTAGCCATCGTTAAGCTGCCAAGACGACTCTTGCGCAACTACTGTGCGATTTAAAAATATCTGTATTTCCTAGCCGCCACTCAATAATAGGTCTATTAAGTTCCACTCGAATGTTTGATTGGTTTAAATTGCAAGCTGTACGGTTTATGGCTTAAGATGTAGCGGATTTATTGAATTAGGAAATGTATCAAACATAATTAGGATGGTTTCTTTAGATTGGTATAACTTATTCTTCTTCTTTCTTCATTTGTTTCAAAGTTACAAGAAATATTTGAGCTGGACTATAATGTCTTTTTTGTAGCATCTCTAATCATATGTGGTAATTTTATTTATATCTTTTCTTTTGCTGTTTAGTCCTTGGTCAATTTTCTCCTCTGTTACTTTGTTATATTACTTTATTATTTGTCAATGCTTTCCTTTTGTTTAGTTAAGCTAAGGTACGTTAGTCCTTTCCCGCTTCTTCTAACACTTTGCGGCACACAAAATGGCAGCGTTTAACTCTAGCAAGCGAAATTGTATAAAAAAAACATGCTTGCTACCAGCGCACGCGATGTTTGACATGCCAGCTAGAACTATCCACTCTCTCGACGATCGACAACGTGTAACTAGTTGCCACTGTCAATAACTGAACTTTAAAAATATGCATATGCTAATAAAGATGTTAAGCTATAATGCACTTTGTGGCCATCCAAATAAGGGGTTTCTGTAACAAAATTAATAATCTTCTGAAAGGCAAAGTATAGGTATATTGTATTATAACTGAACCCTATTCATCTCATCGGTACTGTAGCTGAATACATGTTGGTTTCGGCCAATCAGAAAGTTATAGCAGTAGATATGGTTGCTATGAAGATAATAGTGATTACGATGACAATGATGATGAAGGGAGTCTAAGCATATTGCTTAATGTTGTACTAGAAATAATCCTTATGGGCCTTAACTTGGTAAAACTTTCAACGTCCTGATAAAAACAACATTCATCAACTCTTCGATGATACCAGCTGGTACATCTCCCTAACAAAACCCAACCGTGAAGTATATTTCTATCTTGATTCTAATTAACACAGCGTAATACCGGAGTTTTCTCCTTCACCCATAAGAGAAGAGAGCGTGACCACATCAGACTTAATCTGTAAATTAATAACGTAGAAACATATTGGTTTACGATCATATATACTTTTATTCTCGTTGATGAATAAAGGCAAAAATAAACGCTTGAAATACCACCGTTTGAATTTACTAGCATTCGAAAATTTGAATTACTTACTTATTACTACTTACACTTCTGGGAAATTTACAATTGACAATCATCTTGTTTCTATTTCAACATTTGCGTTTTATATCCATCTTTGAGCAGTTTATCATTTAAATATTTACTTCTTGACATAATAAGCTTTCCACAGTCAACAACACCATCAAAACAAATGACGTACCTTAAATAATGAACCTGGAAAATCACCTAGAGATTTAATCTAGATCCGCATATATAATTAGTCCAGTCTCCCCTCATTAGCTGTCTAAACAGATTTAAGATAAACACACAAACATCCTTGACCGACCATGCAAACGTTATCTCAGTTCATAGATTAAATAACATCTTAGTTCTAGACGAGTAATAGTTGAATCATAACTGTGGAAAAGACCGCATCGTTGTACCTAATTAGCGCATTAAATTAGTAATTATACTATGGACGAACAAATCAAAAAGTTACGTGATAGACTTCTCAATGTAAGTTTGAATTTAATTGCTCTACTTTTAATTTTGCCAATTCGTGAGCGTAATTAGTATTAAGGATATAAACGAAGCTAATTGTAGTAGTGTGTTGGTATCTATGTACTATGAATGGATTGTGAAATAACGATAGAAAGTGAGGTATCAAAACCTTGATGGCAAAACTGAAATCGGGTCTAATGGGGCGACTAGTATTTGCTTACATCAATGCCATTCATGGTTATGCTCGCCTAAAAATATTGTAAATACAACAGCTGTTGATATAATATTCTCATTGAAGAACGGAGAAGTACAAAAATATTGTTCATTCCAATGTTCCGTCAAACTCGCCAATAGCATACAATGAGTCATTTTTCTTAACGGTTTTAACTTTACCACTAATTCTTAAGATAACCTGTACAATATAAACAGACGCGAAAGTTGTAAATGACGTTGTAATTGATAAGAATTGTCATCATTGTTTCAGAACCTGGACAATTGGAAGTCGTCGCGGCGGAAGCGGGTGGAGCATATAATAGAGCGGTGCGTGGAGGTGCGGCGCATGGAGCACGAGCCCAGCCAGCCCCGCGCCAAGTCCAAGACCTTCAACGAAATGCTGGAGGAACGGTCAGTACCAATTTACAACTCTTTTGACAACGGTTCTCTCTCTAATCTCAATATCGATTCAAAGCCTTTATGTCAATCAAGCAAACAGATACGAAACACATAACACCATGATTTAATAATTTGATTAAAATAAAACTTCAGAAGCAATTTTAAAAACTATCCACAATATTAAAGCTTGCTCAGTGTTTATGGAAAGTCATGAAAATATATTGTGACTTGGAGACATGGAAATTACAATTACAAATCATTTTAAACACATGCAAACGATTTGCTATTTCTGCGTATGAACTTGAGTTGGACCTAGGATAGTGCCCTGAGGAAATATTTGCGTTGACTGTTTACTGATCGCAGTACATTACTTTAGAATATTAATCCGTATATTATTAGTCATTAGGCTATGGCAATGCAATTAGAAATCAGATTTGAGGGTTAAAAATCTCTCTCTGATATTCATAGTCCTAACTGCCATTGTAAACAAAGCCTTAGGCGTCAGTACTATACATTAGCATCTCTTGACATGCAGCGGAGTTCAACTACCAGATAAATATTTATGTATGCATGTGTGTGTGACTTCGCGCGAAACGAAAGAGAAACATGGAGTAATGAATGCATTAGATGATTAGATTCTTGTCTCGTCTTTAGGCGTTAGGATTACTATGGTAGTAAAGCTGTAATGAGTTCTGGTGTTGTTTACAAGTACTGCTATGGAAATGGATTTAGCTTTTACCCACGATTTTGCTTCTAATTTGAAATTAATCTCACTTTTCATTACGTCCTTACGCAACTGAGTGTCAATGTGGGTAGTTTTTCAAGTATTCAATTACGAGTAATTTTTATTCTGTCTTGGGGAATATTATTAGTTCTTCAATAACCTATTCACATAGAATAGATGACCATTAATAACTTGTAAGTCCGTTAACCCCCGAAGCGGTAAACAACCACACGACAGGCGGTCGAGCGATTCACGATAATATACAACTTGGCTAATAATACTTTGAAATCTTAATATCTTGCGAACGCTAATTCGAGGTCAGTGGCAGAAACACATAAATTCTATTTCATGATCGTCTCTTTTATGTAGGTACAGAATCAATAAAATCGTTGCAACACTAATTCTATTTGCTTCGATAGCTTCAAAAGGTTCCCACACTGATGATTTTATTTCACCACATCTGATAATGTTACCGTCATTAATAGACTGATCGTTTCATAACAAATATTGGCTACAATTGCGTCTCATTACTATTAATACCACCTTTACTCAACAGTCTGTAAATTATCTTATTATTATTACCTATTTAATTCTTTATTGCGAAAGTGCGACGAACGTGATTTTTAACGTAATTAGTGACACTTGATTGTTATTTAATGTTAGGTAATTGATTGACAATAAGGAAATCCACGTTAGAGACGTTGACCGAAAAAGTGAAGCCAATTTTTTTTGTGAAAACATTTTATGTGTTGACATTAATGTCGTGTTGTTAAAAGAGCTACTTGTCTACTTAATTTTTATTGAATTTTATAAGCATTTGAAAGACTGGATAAGAGCGAGGAATTGTGTTTAAAACTTGTAAACTTAGTTATGCCTTGGTGGACACCCCATTGAAAGTCGAAGTTGAAATAGTACTTAAAGACCGATAGTTGTAAACATTAGCTATCAATACTAAAGAAAATACTTACATGAGACACAAATTATACACACATTTTATGTGCCGTTTTTGATCTATTTAAGTTAGATTTATGTGGTCTATGTTACATATTTCCTTTACCCATTCTTCTTAATTAGACTTCATCTTATCACAATATCTCTTTACTTCCATATCGATCTATCTTTGCATTATTTACACAACATATAAGTATTAATATTATTATCATTTGTTACCATCTTTACCATCCCTTATTCCTCAACATTCCTTTAGCCATATATATAGTGTAAAAACGTTTCCTTTTCATTAAAAACATTGAAACCTAGTCCGTTAACATAAATACATAGTTGTTATAACATATGTATTATTTTTTCTAAAACAAGTCCATTTAGACCATATAATGTCGTAAGACATTTGACAGAGACTTGATCTATAAAAAAACTACATATTTGGTAACACTTGTCTCTCAATGCAATTTCTACCCTACCACATATGAACAAGTTTTAAATTACTATAGCATATTTTCCAAGCTACAATTTCGTACAGTTGCAATAAGATTACGATTTTATTTTCTTTATATTAAAGTTTATTTTGTGGAGTACTGGTTCATGTGTGTACTAGTGGTGCGGTAGAACAGTAAGGTTATCGATTCGCAATGCTCGTAATGTAATATCGATGTCATTGACTCGATATACAGTATTGTGTTGCTCGGGTTTAACTCGTACTTGCTTACTCTGATTTTGAAGCGGTTTGTAGCTGACCATATGTGTACTACTGTATTTAATCTATATTTCTTAATAAAACATTTTAGCTAGCTTTCATTTTAGTCAATGAAAATGCTTTACTTTGTATAAAATTTCAATACTACCCTCATATTAGACACCATCATTATTCCTTAAATTACTATTCGTATACTAAAAACCAAATCCATTGGAGCGTACCTAACGTATTGCTCAACAGCCATCAATACAAAAGCATCAATGAACTCCATTCGCCATACATTTCCATTAAAACCAGGTCAATGCGAATCGATTGTTTCGGAGTTTCGGCAGTTTTTGTAAATCGATCAGAGACGGTGGTTTGGATTAATAAAGTTAACTATGAGAATGTTATGTTTCTTATTGGTTGTGTTATTTGTAGTTGTTCCATGGGAACTTGCGTGTTAATGTGTTCCTATCATGCTATAGTTAAGTGGTGATTATATCCAATTTGTATTGTTTGACTGCTGTATATTATATTTTGTGGGTTGAAAAGACAGTTTTTTTTTTGAAAACTAGAATGAATTACCCTGATAGCTGAGAATTATTTGAAACTTTGTTCGTGAATATTCGTTTGTTTTCGGATCGGTCGGTCTATCAGAAGCAAGGACTTTAAAATTATCAAATGTAGAAAGTAAGTGGATACTGCTATGTGCTTTATGTCAATACAAATGCTACAAGTTTATTGTATTCTTAAAAAACGTAAACGACGTCTACATATTTAGCTGAAATCCCAATACGTTCTCTAAATAAGAAACCATAAGAAAATATAATCAGTAACTTGACACGTTAAATACTAATTCCAACCGAACTCTTTCCCCTAAAGGAAATCGACTTTCGTGTGTGACGGGGGACGCGGTGTAAGTTGCACGTTGGTCTCGGTCGGCGGGCAGCGCGCGACTGATCAAGTTACCGGTACATGAGTTGGTACATGCGCAAGCGCAACAAGGCGTGGCGCTATGTGTTTCCTTTAATCTTTATTTTGAACTGGATTTTTGTTTTAAATTGTCATTATTAGATAGACACGATTGTGTGCGAATGTAATTATGAAAGTGAGATATGAATTGTTGGCTTTTAATTTGAATTCACGCGTCATTAACGATGTTTGTAATTCTTAATTAAATCGTTATAAAGACAACTCTTTAAATGTGCACATACACTAGTGGTAATAAGTATTTACGTATCGAATATCTACATAATGCCAATCAAATGAAGTATGACGGTTGAAAACGTGATCGGTAGATTGCATAAATTGACAATTTCAAGAATTTTAATGACATTTTTAAACCCGAACCGATATTTTATCGATTCATCGAATAGGTAATCGAGCATAAACTTCAATCGATCTATCGCTAATCAGACTCATCGGGATTGCGATCATTCTGTAATTGCTGTTCAAATAAACCAATTAACTGTTATTATGTAACTCTAGTAAAACCGATTAATCGATTTATTTATCATCTACTCGGCTTTCTAAACAATTACCGATATTTGCTATCGCCGGATTTCCGTTTACGTTTGTAGAAATTTGTATTTTTTTTATGCGCATCTAATATTAGTATATATTTTGCAAGAAGAGTTTCACTCATCTTCCATTATAAGCGCATTGTAGCTGGTGGGAATGGGGATGCAAGTTTGAGTGTGAAAGAGCCGTACTTCGACACGAATAGGCCGAGTCGACCGGATTGCCACCACGGCTTCACAGAATCTCTGTATTGCGGTATGATTGTGGTTACCGAAGGCCTCATATCCTCAAATCCTAACAACCCGCACAAGGCTGTCAATGTACTTGTAACCCTTTTGGTGCTTGGGTTACAGAAATTACATGGGAACCACATAATAGTTTTGATGTAAATGTAACTGACCACTGTGTTTGTTAACATAATTGCTCGCACGTTTAAAAGTATTATATTCTTATACAGTATTACGTTGTTAAATTTATCGTTATTGCTATATTTCGGCACAATACAGTTTCTTGTTCATTATTCATAAAATAATAAAGAAGTCTTTGTCTTACTTACTGAAAACACATAATTCTAACACCAAATGGTAGTTCTTAGAAGTGCTGAATAGGTAGTTATTTATTTTGTGACTTATTGTCTATTGTATTAATTTTATTTTTGAATGGCACTCACCAAATGTTACGACTGAATTCTAATGAATGTGTACCTTTTTAACAGGTTGATAGAAAAATGAACCTTACCGATATTAGAAAAAAAAGGTTTAAGTCCTTAAATTTGAAAAAGCTTTAACGGTGAAAATTGATTGCACATGTAATACTTTATGTCGACTAACATAGGATAGTTTAGAAAACTGCAGGATGTTTGCAAAACGCTCTGAATGCTACAATGTAGTGTTCATTCATAAACTATTCGGAAACAACTCACACTAACGAAAAATCCAGTATATCATGGCCTCGCTTTAAACGATTCTTCCACACATACAGTGGTCAGTTTATACTGGTACTCCACAGGTTTAGGTGTACCCATTATATGAACACTTGTACTTACAGTTTTCAGTAATACGTAAATAAATCATGAGGTAAACAGCTCAACTGTAATGTTTCAGCTAATTCAAAGAAATATAAATTTGTTTA